CACACAAATACAATAACGGAATGAGCCAAAGCTCGGTAAGTAGGGTGATGCACGTGATATGCAATGCTATTGTGTTTCCCATATTTTCATCCATTTTAATTCGGATACCACTAGGTATATGCAAGTCCGTGCGCCTAATATCTCGGTGATCGTTTTATCACCTACTCGCTCTATTACTTTCTCTCGGTGATCTCAATATCACCTATCGCTCGTAACGAAATTATCCTTCGTTGTAGCACATGGTTAACGGAATTATCCCTCGCTTAATGATGTTAGTAAATAAAGCTCGCACTATGGATTCCTTGCTATTACCCAATCCACTCAATTCGATTACCAAACCGTGTCAATTCAAGACTCAATGATTTTTCTCAATTTATTTTCACCCCCAATGCACATGATGCACGTGATGACATGTTTAATCACATTCAACTAAACTCGAGTACCAGCCCTTCTTTCTCAAGCCATACTCACGGTCCAACCATCACTCGGGATTCACTCGACGCACACATACTAATCATGGTACTCATAGCGGGAACACAATCTCCGCTCATTAATATTGTTCATTAGTTTCATTAATAATTAAAGAATGTCCAATTCTTTTTTTTTTTAATTTCCTCTACGAAAGAATAAATTTTCTTTAAAATTTAAAAATCCTTTTTATTTCTATCTAAGTCCACTTATTTTAGCCTAAGCCCATTTTTGTTAGTTTAAGCCCATCTACTTTAAAACTAAGCCTTTTGATTTTAATCCAAGTCCATTACCAAGTTTATTTTATTTAAGTCCAAGCCCATTAACATTAATCCAAGCCCAAATCTATTTGTTTTAATTTAAGTCCACTCTACTTTTAAATCCAAGCCCATCTCATTTTAACTCAAGTCCAAATCCATTAATATTAATCCAAGCCCATTTATTTTAATCCAAGCCCAAGTCCATTTGTTTTAATCTAAGTCCACTTTATTTTTAAATCCAAGCCCATCTCATTTTAACTCAAGTCTAAGCCCATTAACATTAATCCAAGCTCAAGTCCATTTGTTTTAATCTAAGTTCACTTTATTTATAATTCCAAGCCCATCTCATTTTAACTTAAGTCAAAGCCTATTACCATTAATCCAAGCCTATTTATTTTAGGTTAAAAATTTTCCAGCGAGTGGTACACCTAAATAACCTATACCAAATCAGCCATAAATCCTTAAATATATATCTAAAACTCACAATAGTTTAAGAGGAGATATTAGACATATAGATAAACAACTTTCATTCTTTAAGTTTTCTCCAAAAATAATTCTAAAATCCTTAAATAAATCACATTAGTTTTGGCACTAAATAAACTTTTCCAGTAGCTGGTCCATTCAATGATCCGTATTAAATCAGTCATAAATCCTTACATACAGATCTAAAAATAACAAAATTCTATATACATCTAGTAGACACATAGATGAACTACTTTCCTTGTTTGAGTTCTTCCCAAAAACCACTTTATGATCCCGAAATAAATCACACAACTTTCGGAATGAAATATTTTTTCAGTAGGTGGTCCATTCGAACAATACATACCAAGTCAGTCATAATGCCATATATATATTTTTAAAAGTCACGAAATTTTAAAAAGACATAGTAGACACATATATAAACAACTTTCATTCTTTGCATGTTTTCTAAAAATCACTCTAGGATCCCGAAATAAATCACACGAAGTTTGGGTTTTTCCACCCCTAAAATCCAGAAATCTACTCTTAAAGCACATTTCTCATCACACATGCATAACCATCCATCATCAAACATCAAGTGTTTAAAGTCATCACAAAATACCATAATCATATTTTACATGAATTAACAACTCATAAAATAAACATGAAAGGCATAAACAAAGCAAGAAAAAAATGAAACCTACTTATTTTGGATTAACTTTCCTAAAATCTCTTTGGCTTCTTTTTAGTTTCCCTTTCTCTTTCCTTTCTTTTCCCCTTCTCTTCCTTTCCTTTTTTTTCTCTTTCTCCCCTCTCTTTCACTCTTTCTTTCTTGGCTTTAAGGAAGCTACGGGATGCACCAAAAAATGCATCCTTATCCCGTTTTTTTAACTTAAATATCTCATCTAATCTCATCCATTTAATGTTCATTACAAGTGTCAAGAGCTTATGGTGAAATGCAAGGTAAATGTGACGAAAATTAATGAAAAGATGAGTTTAAATTTCAAGGAGGAAGAGGTGATGGCCAATGGAAATTTGTAGAAAGTATGGGCCAAAGTGTGATTAAATGAGGGTAATTAAATTAACTACATTTTCGAATCCTCTCAAAATTTCGGCAATTAGCACTTTTTTTTTTAATTTATACTTATTCCATATAAAAGAAATTTTCTAACTAATTTACCCAATGTTTTTTTTTAAAAAATATTGACGTACACCGATTACTCTCAACAAATATGTACATATCACATATTCCAAGTACATATGTTGACTCGGTTACAGATTTTCACATACGTAACCGATATACTATATATATACGTACGAATATAAATATCTCGATACGTACACTTATACGATTACGGATTTTACGAGGGTTACGAAGGTTTGTCCAAAAAAATTGAACTAAAAATTTAGATTGAGATTTTAGTTGATAATAACATTATTTTTATGATTTGAATAGACTATGAGGGAAAAAAATTAATCCATTATTTTTTAAATAAATAGTCAACTTAAAATCTAGTGGTGATAATTCGTTTTTTCTGTTCGATTTTTTTTTTAATTTTCGGTTAATTGAATTGATTAAAACAAAAATCGAACGAATCGATGCTCAGTTTTTTCGGTTAAAATAACCAAAATTTTCGATTCGCTATATTTGATTTTCGGTTAAACCTTTTTTTTTTTTTTTTTGGAATCTCAACCTTATACTCCTATCTCTTCATAGCCTACGGCCACCAATACACCAAACATAATTCACAAATTACAAATTAATTTATTGAACAAAATTGATTGCATTTTGTTTTTAAAAATTTTAAATTGAAAAATTTAATTAAAAATAAAAGTTATTGAATGAAAAAAAAAACTAAATTATCACAAAAATCCAACTGAAAAACTAAATTATAAATAAGTATGGAAATATGGAAACTCGATATTGATTTTTTAAATAAAGAATTAACTTATTATTTTATTAGAATTAGACTCAGTATTTATATTTTTTAAAAATAATAAATGAGTAACGAATTATTTTACATTAAAATAAAACTGATTATTTTACTAAAAGTACAAAATTAAATAATATAATAATGAACTCAAGCAAATAATTTTCCAAGCATTCCTGGCGTGCTTATTCAATGAACAAAATATACTCATGCCGTTTCTTCTTCTTCTTTGCCACTTTCTTCAAAAAGTCTACAATTCCATTTCATTACTAGACTGCTTATTCAATGCCAATGCAGCCGCTATGGACCCCACAAATCACATCCTTTCCTTCTCATGTCTGACAAATATTTGAAAAGCATTGTTAACTCGTTGCAGCCGGAATTGGCAAGAAAGTTAGGGGATGTTTGGCTTATTCGGTTTTCAATTAAAATCGAATTTTTGTTTAAAAAAAATCCAATCGAATCGAAATAATTTTAACTTTTTAAAAATTTTATTTTTATAAAAATTCAAATTGAAATCGCTAATTTAGTTCGATTCGATTTGATTTTTTTATTTTAATCGAATAGTTCTTACCCTTATTAAAATCTTATCTAAACACATAGTTTTAGAATGTAAAAACAGATTAAGGATTAAGAAAAGGTCAAAAAAAAAATAATAATCATGTCATAAGAGGAAATAAATTAAGATTTTTACTTTATTTTATAGAGACATTGTGAATTAATAGGCGACGAATTTTTCAAAAAAAAAAAAATTGATTATTTTTGTGCGTGTTGATTAGGATTAGAAAAATCATTAAGCAATTGTTATCAAGTTACAAGTTTTTTTTTTCAATTTATTAAGAAATCTGTAATTTTTTCGTATTATATTTTTTTATTTTATAATGATCAAATAAATTTAACGTCATTACTCAAATTTTGTTTCATTAAAAAAAACTTTCAAATTTACAATTATTGGATTAAACTTGTTTCTACGTTAATCAAGTTATTATTATTTTATTTTTTTTAGGTTCAATAATAAAGATGTTTTTGAATCAAGATTCGTGTATATCAAAAATAATTTCTTTTTATCTATGATTAAAAAATAATAATATATTATTTAAAAAATTTTAACTAAAACTTTAGGTATAAAATATAAATGGAAGTTTGTTTATCAATAGATTATTACCATCAAAGCTTATTTAATCAAGTTACAGCGGGGAACGAGAATTAGGTATTAGTTTTAAGGCTAAAGGTTGTGAGGCCACAATGAATTGTGGGCTCATTAAATCAGGACGTTCGTACTCCATATAATATCTATGATTTGACTTTCGAACCATAACAGGGACAAGTGATGAGGAGTTCTCGCGACCTCATAAGAGTTGATGCTGTCTGATTTCGTCCTTTTTCAGTGGGAGTACAAACGCCACCGCAATTCTTGAAACTCAGATATTGTTTAATTAAAATAAATCTTTAAAATTGATAATTATATTAATTTTTTTATTTTAAAATTTTTTATTTGCACATATTAATTTTTTTAAATTATCAATCAAATCAAGTATTCTCATTCAACTTTTGTCAATTATTTTATTATTTAACTTAAGATTCATGAGATATATATATAAAGGCATGAAAATGAACTTCTTAAATGAATGACAAGTTGTTAATTTTCCTGATAAATTGGAGATAGTTTTATTGGAAAGTATAAGGAGTACAAGAAGAGTAGGCATCTGGGGCTATCCACTAACTCATCATAGACAGAAAAAATAACAAAGATCGACCAAAACCAAATCTAACAGGGTTGAAGCACTGCACTTACATCACTACCCCAACAAGAACCAAACAAGAGGCAACATCTGCAAGTGCAGAATCAACCTAAGATTAACATGGTACGTATACAACTTCTTCAAGCCTTGCTGTTACCTGACAAAACACCAACCAAGGTTTCAAATGCCACAAATGAAGATCCACCCTCCAACAAAGCTTTCCTGCCAATTTCACTCATTGCTTTCACCTTGCTTTTCACCTCACTAGCACCTTCAATCACATCTTTCACTGCTTTCGCTACTTGCTCTGCCTTCACAACATCACTAGTATCCTTTCTATAGTCCATCCTCACTTCAACTGCAACTCCTGCATCCTTAACCAGTTGGAACGCATTGATTTGCTGCTCACCATACAAAGGCCATGTCACTATAGGCACACCATACCAAGTACTCTCCAAGATTGAGTTCCACCCGCAATGTGACACAAACGCACCGGTTGCTTTATGGGCTAAAACCTCAACTTGCGGTGCCCAGCCACAAACCAGTCCGACGTCTTTAGTCCTTTCCAAGAACCCTTCTGGCAGAAGCTCACTAAAATCATTAACCTCACTTGGGTTCAATGATTCGGTAGATGGTGGTCTTCTAATAGACCACAAGAACCTTTGTCCGCTTTGCTCGAGCCCAAGTGCAATCTCTTTCAATTGAGGCACGCCGAAGCTCCCTTGACTTCCGAAGCACAAGAACACCACTGATTTTTCTGGCTGAGCGTCAAGATATGTCAAGATCTCATCACGTTGGTTCCCGTCAGCTACTGGACTGTTGCCCTTGTGATCAACCACTGGTCCGACGGTGTAAACTGGGGGCACGCTTGACTCACCCTTGAGATAGTTGACGGCATGGGATTCTAGCTCAGCAAATGTATTCACAATGATACCCTTTGCCTCCTTGAATTTTCTGGCATGCCCAACAAAAGTTGAGTACCCTCCTTCATGGAACAACAGAGTAGGCAAAACAGAGGAAGGAACAGGGTTGATGTAACTAGGAATGAGTGAGTCGGGATCAGTTGGCTTGTAGGTGATCCCTCCGTTGTCAAATCTATCAGGAAGGTAAAGCATAGAACCAAGAAAAGCAGCACCAGAAGCAAAGAAAATATAAGAAGGGACACCAAGATCTTTCGCAACATCAACAAAGGCAGTACAAAACAAATCAAGAACCAAACCGGCAAGTTTGACTGACTTGTTGGACAAAACATGGTTAACAATCAGATCCTTAACGTGGGTTTTATGATCAGCAATGAAAACTGAAACAAAATGTTCAGGACAAGCAAGAACATCTTCTAGAGGTGGTGGGGTTACAGAAGGAAGACCAAGGAATTGAAATTCAGGGTGAGATACACTAAGTTTCTCAACATATGTTGTAACATTGTGGGCAAATGGTGGAGACATGAGAAGCATTGTAATGGAGAAACTGTCATCTCTTTCAATCAAACGTTTTGCAAACTCCATGACTGATACGAGATGACCAATCCCTGGCGCTGGGAGAAAGACTAGTGCTTTCTTGGGTGTGGATTCATTTCGGGCTGGTGCCATTGTTGGCGGAAATGCAAGGGTTTTGGCTTCTGTGATCTCTGTTTTGGGACATATAATTTGGGATCGAGTCATAGCCACTATATATAGGGAGAGCTGAGGAATAAACGCGTATTCAATGCTATTTTAATCGAATAAATTATGAATTAATCCCTCTAGTTTCTCCAAAAGAATTAAATAGTCCTTCTATTTTTAATAACTTATTAATTTGTTTGTAATGTGATCTTTTTTAATTTATTTTTTTATTTTAATAAATATAAATAGAAAAAAGTAAATAAAAAATATAAAAACATCGATAAGAAAAGAAAGCATGTTTTGAAATAAAAATATTAAATTAACTATGATCAATATAGATAAAAAATTAATTAATTTATTTTTAAAACAAAAGAGAATATTTAATTTCTATTGCAAAACTAGAGGTATTAATTTATAATTCACCCTATTTTAATCTGAAAATTTGTTGAGAATCTGTGGATTTGTGCTGCCATCCTTTGACGATTAGGTGCATCAAAAAAAAAAAAAAAAGTCCCTATCAAGATTTTTAATTTTTTTTTTTTTACAATAATTATGGTAAGGACAATTTTCCGACAAAAAATTATAATTTAATCCATGAGAAGCCGAAAGATGTTGTCCCCGCTTCAAGGAAAATAATTAAATGAGTCAAAAGAGTCAATTTTTTTTATACAAAGAAATGTTTTTTAAAAAAACAAAACAAATTAAATTAAAATTAACATATAGATACTGAGATAAGATCAATGATGAATTGTATATTCGAAATTTTTTGGAAGATAGCATTATAATTTTTTTTGGTTTGATTTTATCTAAATATTTTTATTATACATTAGAGATAGAACTAATTTAGTTTGAAACAAAAACAATAGCTAAGTCTTTTCAATAAATATTATTTTAAAATTCAAATCATGTATATTAGCATAATTTTTTTTAGAATTCATTTTATTTATCACTAAACTAATAATTTATTAATTATGATATTATAATTTTTAAAGATATCTAAAATAATTTAATGGAAACTCATAATGATATAAAAAATCTTGCGCGTTAGCCTAGATTAGAGGGAGAATCAATATATTTCCTTAAAAAAAAAGAGATATGATGCTTAAGCTTCCTTTTTCTTTTCCTTTTTGATTAATTTGGTAAAAAAAAAAAATTGTTAAAAACGAAATTATCTTATTGGCGCATGTACAAATGGTAATGCTAGTCATGCTTCGTAATTCACAACCACAAAAAAGAAAATAAAAAGAAAAGAAAAATAAATCAGAATCTTGCCTTTGCGAAATCCCAGGCCAACAACCCAAGTGGTGTCGTTTAGTTGGGTTATGGCCCAGCAAACGACAACCTGGTAGTGGTTTGGCTCCCTCGCCACTACAGTCCCATGAAGGAGTAAATTATAAATTAGTCCCTCTAGCTTTAAAAAATGAATTAATCAATTCCTTTTGTTTCAAAAAATAATTCTTTAGTTTTTTTTAAGCAAGATTAACCACGTTTAATTGAATATTATTTTATTTTAAAAAATATTTTTTCATCGATCATTTTATTAAAAAATAAAATAAATTAGAAAGTAATATAAAATAAATAAAAATAATTAAATAATTAGTTCATAAAACAACAAGAATTAATTAATTCGCTTTTCAAAAATAAAAAGAACAATTTCTAATTTACTCTCCCATAAATCCAAAACAAATTTTCTCGTCAATATACATTTGCCCTTTTTTATGAGAAAATCATAATTTTAGAACTTGTATTTCTGATTTTTTCTCCCCCCCAAAAAAAATGATTTTATTCTTTTCAAGGTCTCTATTTCTAATTTTTATGCTTGAAGTCCTATACAATGAAAAATATATCAATTAAAGGTTTTCTTAAAAATTCATTAAAACTGTGGTTATAAAGTAAGTTACAGTAAATTTCTATTGAAGGCACTATTTATCGGCTTTTTCAATGTATTAAAAATGGATCAGTATTAACCATTCTTCATTTAATATTATTTTTTTCAAAAAATATTTTCTTTTCTTATTGAGATTTTCATATTTTTTTACTTTTTTTTCTCTTTTTCTACTTCTTAAAAAAAAACAAAGTAAATTGAAAAGGAACTTAGAAGGGATGAAGGAGACAAATAAATTAGTTTTAAAATTAGAAGGACCATTTATCTCTTTTTGGAAAACTAAAGAAAATAATTTATAATTTTCTGTAAATATGCCAGAACTAGATTTCTCCTGTCATTTGTACAGAAAAAAGAAAAAGGACTTTTCTTCTCTTCTATCTAACATTTTTTTGGCAGTATACATCTGTGCTGGTCCAACCTGTGTGCCAATTTCTTAGGGCGTCTCCCTTATAATATAATTGTTATTTTTTTAATGGAAAATATTTTCATGTAATTATAGTATTTATTCAAAAAATAAGATAAATTACGATAATCCTCAGATATTTTTCGTTGGTAATGATATTTTTATATTAGTTTATGTATAAATCAATGAAAAATCTTATCAACACACTCTTTGCATTGATGTTATATATTTAGAAAAACTTAATAGATTATTGTAGATATTTATCTCAAATTTTAAATTCAAAAAATTGAAGAAAAGAACAAACTTTCTTAACCAGCTCCGACCATTTCAAATTATTAAATGTGAAATGTTGAAATTGTTAATTTTTAATTATTATAACTAAAACAAAAAAAAACTATTAGTTTTATTATTCATTCACTATTTGAAATATTATTCATCTACACTTTCAAAAGCATTATTTCTTTCACTATGTAGTGACATTTTTATAGTTTTTAAATATTTTTAATATATTTGTGACGAAAATTTTTCTAACATTGTAATTTGATTCATCTTTTTTAAATATGGGTTTTTTCAATCCATAAAATATTTTTTATTTGGTTTCGGTCCCTCTTTTTTGTTTTATTTTTGTCACTTTAGTCCTTTTTTTATTTTTTTAAATAAAAATGTTAAGAAAAAAATATTTAAAAAACATTACAAAATAAATTTTTAGCTAGGAATCCATTGGTTTTAACATCTTTATACTATTAAATAATTTTTTTATAAAACATTTATAAAAAAATAAAGAATAATCAATTAAATATAAAATTTGATGTATTTTGATAGACGCATAATATAAAATAAGATATCAAAATAAAATAATTTTTAAATATAATTTTATTCATTTTGTCCGATCCACAACGTCGTGTATGTAGAAAATCTAGTTAATCAACTAGAAGACAATCTTTTCATATTTTCCACATTTTTTTAAAAATAAAAAATCAAAATAAATTGATAAAAAAAGGACTAAGTTAAAGATAAATTAAAAAAATGAGGATTAAATAATTAATTTTTAAAATAATAGAGATTAATTAATTTGTTTGTCCAAAGGAGAAAAACTAGTTTATAATTTACTCCATTTTGGATAAAACTTGTACTAAACAAGACGTGGCAAAAAAATAAAAAAATAAAAAAAATTGATGTATGGAATAAAATATTCCCCCATTTCATCATATACCAAACATAACTTATTCTACAATATCTCATCACAATGTCGTAGGCTTCGGGCAAACAAAAGTTTTTATAATATTCATTTTACTTTATCGAGTTCAGTTATCGAAACCGACATATAAGTTTATTTAATTCTTTAAATACGCTAAATTGATGTAAAATATTTACTCTTAAAATCTTTTTTTAAACAATCTGAAAGGTCCAAGATCTAGTAAGATATAGTGAACTTAAATATCATGATGTAATCTATAAATTTCTCTAAACGGATTAACTTTTTTTGAAACTGCATTTTGTATTTTTTTTTATATCAAATATTTCGATATTCGGTAAAAAAAAATTATGTATATTATTAGAAAAATATATTAACATCTTCTTCAATCCGAATCTAAATTTAAAAACACCTTCAATTTATCTCTATTATTTGAATTGCTTTCTAATATATTATTTTAATTAAAAGTTTAGGTCAAATTAAGTATGTGATTTGATAAAATTATATTTATTTTTGATACAAGTGATCTATATCTATTAATATGAAAAATAATTTTTGATGAATTAACTAAAAATTTTGACAAGAAAAATAGATCAAATAACATAGATAAATTCAAAGTGTTTTTCGATTTTGGAACAGATTAAAAATTTTACCTATTATATAAAGATATACGAGGATATTAATCCCATAAATTATTCTTGATATTTAATCTTGCAAGTCACTTTTATAATAAGCTTTACTTTTGAAAATAATTTAAATGTCATTTTAAAATTGGATATTCGTTAGTGGTCTTACTTTGGATTGATGAGTAAACAAGCCACAAGCCCCGCAACCATAAGCAAAAAGGAAAAGGACAAGGAGAAACAAAAAAGTATTGCATTATTTGTGCCGATAAAAAGTAAAAATAGTGCTATGGAGAATCTGGTGGGCATATTCTTTTTTTTTTTTTTTCCTAAAAGGTTATTTTCCATGTTAGAGATTAGATTTTCACGCTTGTAAAGTCCATTCATCTATTTCATATAGCATTGTACATAAATTGCTAATGGACTGAAAGAATTCCATCTTTAGAATCGATAAAAAATTAAGATTAATTGAGCAATGACCTAATTTCAAAAATAATAAATTTAATCTCAATTAATTCAAAAATTAAATTAAAAATATTTCACAATCTATAAATATAAAAAAATCCCTAAAATTCAATATATATATCGCACATGATGGAAGGTTATGTGAATTTGCAAAATAGTAAATCTCTTTATTATTTTAGAAATAAATTAATTAGTTTCTCTAATTAATTATTTAGTTTTTTAATTAATGTTGATCATATTTTATTTAATATTATTTTATTTCAAAAAATGTTATTTTTTTCCTTTGATATTTTTTACATTTTTTCTATTTGTAGCTACTGATCTTTTTTCCTGTGATACTTTAAAGATTAGACAGAACATATAAAATTATTTTTAAAAAATTATTTTAATTTGATACTTCTTATTACGTTGTGTGTATTAAAATATATTAAATCAAAATCGAAAAAAAAATATTAGACGAAAAGTGAAGACTAAATAAATTAAGCCACAACCAATCAGAAATTAGCATGGAAGATAACTTCTTCAAGCCTTGTTTCCTACCATTGATCAATCCAGCATCCAAAAGCAGCACATCAAGATCCACCTTCTGAAAAATCTTGTCTTGCCTTTTCACTACCTTCTTTAAACTTATTTTTACTTTCGCTAGCATTTTCTCACAGATTTCACTACCTTTCTACCCCATTTGCCTTCACAGGATCACTCTTGCCCAACTTAACTGCTAATCTCATATCCTTTTCTCGAGGAATTCCTCTGGCAAGATCTCCAGGCGAGAACTGACCCTTGGATGGTGGTTCCAAACGGACCATAAGAGCTTGTGTCCACTCTGCTCGAGCCCATCTGCTCTTCTTTTCAACTGGGGTTCACCGAAGGCTCCACCACTTCCGAAGCACAAAAGCATTACTTTTTTCGGTTGATCATCAAGCCATTTCATGGTGGCATCATCTGGAACAGCCTCGGACCCTTTCAAAATCTTCTCCTTACGATCAATCATCGGACGAACCGTATAAATTGGTGGTATATCGTCTTTAGCTAAAAGAGAGCTAACTCCTTAAGGTTCTAGCTCTACAAACGTATTGATAATGATTTCACTGCCCTTTATTTTATTTTATTTATCATTATTTTATTTCTATTTAAGATAAAATTAACTACGTTCAAAGCGAGAAACGATAAGGTTTAATTCTTTTCGATTTAATTTTTTCTAACATATGCAATTTTAATATTCAAATCAGACACATTGATAAAAAATTTACTTAACAACTAATTTATTTATCATTAAACTAGCAACTTGCTTTAGTTTCATCAAATTCTTTGTTTCTTTCTATTAATAATCTTTGTAACATTTGCATTTTTCTTTCATAATATCAAAAAATATAGATTTGTTATCTGTATAACATCAACGATACTTAAACAAGATATTGTTTAAAATATCGAGTCAAATTATATATTTGAAATAATCTTAGCCCGTCTTAGTTTGTCTACTATGATTTTCAAAATGATATGTAAATATATAAAGAAATAAAAAAGAATAATTATAAGATCAATTTCATCTCACTAGAAAAATTCATTTTCAAAAGTAAAAATTTATCACATTCATCCATTTCAATATACTTAAATAACAATATAAGTTTGAGTTAATTTACTTTCTTTTATTGGAAAGATTTATAATTCATAATATTTGGATTGGATGATCTACACTACAACAAAAATAAGTTTTAGCAACGGATATTTAGCGACGGTCCACAAACCGTCGCTAAATACCTAAATTAGCAACAATTTTTCACACTTTAACAACGGTCTAAAAAATGGTTACAAAAATTAAATTTTACGACGGTTTTTAGCAACGGTCCAACAATCCGTTGCTACTTTTATCGAGCTAACCATTTTAGCAACGGTCTAAACCGTTGCTAAACCGTTAGTACATTTAGCAACGGTTTCGCCCGTTGCTAAAACCGTTGGTAAATGTTATTTAATTTTTTTTCAGAGGTTTTATAAAAAAAAAGCCTAAATAAAAAATATTGTTAGACCGTCGCTATTACGTTACCAAAAGGAAAAATAGCAACGGTTTGGTGTTATTAAACCGTTGCCAAAATGTTTCTTTTAGCGACGGTCCGTAACCGTCGCCAAATCAAGCGGGAAACGGTTTAGCGACGGTCCGGGACCGTCGCTAAACCGTTGGTACGTTGTTTAACGGTTGCAAAATAACCGTTGCAACGTTATATTAGCGACGATCCCGGATCGTCGCTAAACGATTGCTAAAAGTAACCGTTGGTGGGAAACGAGTCAAATTAAATTTCGAATTTACTTTTAGCGACGATCCGGGGACCGTCGCTAAAAACTTTACCCTTCTATAAATAGCGATCGGTCGGAATCTGCCATTTTTTATTTTCTTCTCCTCTCTTCTTCTCCTCCGACAGCGAATCTATGCCTTTTTCGTCTTCAATCCTTTGATCTCTCTCATCAAAGCTATTGTTTCCTTAAAATCTCCATATTTCCTCCCTCTTTTCCTCCTCCTTTCAAGTTTTCTCTCTTCCGTTGAAGTTGCCGTTTTCCGACGACCATATTCCGACGAGGTTTTTTTTCCGGCGGTTTCTCCCACTCCTTCTCTTGGTGACAGGTACACCTAAATCTAAACCATCCTTTCAATTATTAATTTTTTCAGTTATTTATTTATGTCAAATAATTAGATTTTATTTTAATTTAATTTAATTACTTATTATTGCTAGTTTAATTATTGAATTGTTTGTTTATTGCATGTGTTTTTTTAATTTGATTATTTAATTAAAATTTATTTTGCGTGTTATTTTAGTGTAAATTGTGAGAGTTAATTAAAATGTTTAATTGTTAATTGTTATGTTAATGTTGTTGTTAATTATTAATTAATTGAATATTATTGTTAACTTTTTTATTTTGTTTTATTTTTTTTAAATTGTCGATTAAATTAATTTGATTGTTAATTGTTAATTTACTTACTTTAATTTATTGTTAAATTTTTTTTTAGAAAATATAATTGTTATATTTTATTTTATATTGTTATTTAAATTGTTATTGTTATTGTTATTAGTGTAGATAATAATTGTTAATTTACTTAAGTAATTCACAATTTATTGAAAACATTATTAATTTCTGTAATTCCTAGTTCATTAAGTTAAAGCGTTAGGTTAGTACAAAATAAATTAAAACAATTTTCTAAAATTATTTTTAAATAAATAAAAAATAAAGTTATTAGAAATATTTGTAATTATAATTAGGAATTAAATAAATAATTAAGTTGTATTTAAGAATTTTCTTAAAAAAATTTTAAATACATAAAAAATAAAATTATAGGAAAAATTTGTAATTATTAGTAATTAAATAAATAATTACGAGTTATTTAAAAACTTTTCTTAAAAAAATTTTAGATAGATAAAAAATAAAATTATAGGAAATATTTGTAATTGTTTGTAATTAAATAAATAATTAAGTTGTACTTAAAAAATTTTCTTAAGAAATTTTTAAATAGATAAAAAATAAAATTATAGGAAAAATTTGTAATTGTTAGTAATTAAATAAATAATTAAGTTGTATTTAAAAATTTCCTTAAAAAATTTTTAAATAGATAAAAATAAAATTATAGGAAAAATTTGTAATTGTTAGTAATTAAATAAATAATTAAGTTGTATTTAAAAATTTCCTTAAAAAAATTTTAAATAGATAAAAAATAAAATTATAGGAAAAATTTGTAATTGTTAGTAATTAAATAAATAATTAAGAGTTATTTAAAAAATTTTCTTAAAAAAATTTTAGATAGATAAAAAATAAAATTATAGGAAATATTTGTAATTGTTTGTAATTAAATAAATAATTAAGTTGTACTTAAAACATTTTCTTAAGAAAATTTTAAATAGATAAAAAATAAAATTATAGGAAAAATTTGTAATTGTTAGTAATTAAATAAATAATTAAGTTGTATTTAAAAATTTCCTTAAAAAAATTTTAAATAGATAAAAATAAAATTATAGGAAAAATTTGTAATTGTTAGTAATTAAATAAATAATTAAGTTGTATTTAAAAATTTCCTTAAAAAAATTTTAAATAGATAAAAATAAAATTATAGGAAAAATTTGTAATTGTTAGTAATTAAATAAATAATTAAGTTGTATTTAAAAATTTCCTTAAAAAAATTTTAAATAGATAAAAAATAAAATTATAGGAAAAATTTGTAATTGTTAGTAATTAAATAAATAATTAAGTTGTATTTAAAAAATTTTCTTAAGAAAATTTTAAATAGATAAAAAATAAAATTATAGGAAAAATTTGTAATTGTTAGTAATTAAATAAATAATTAAGTTGTATTTAAAAAATTTTCTTGAAACAATTTTAGATAGATAAAAAATAAAATTGTAGGAAAAATTTGTAATTGTTAGTAATTAAATAAATAATTAAGAGTTATTTTAAAAATTTTCTTAAAAAAATTTTAGATAGATAAAAAATAAAATTATAGGAAATATTTGTAATTGTTAGTAATTAAATAAATAATTAAGTTGTATCTAAAACTTTCCTTAAAAAAATTTTAAATAGATAAAAAATAAAATTATAGGAAAAATTTGTAATTGTTAGTAATTAAATAAATAATTAAGTTGTATTTAAAAACTTTTCTTAAGAAAATTTTAAATAGATAAAAAATAAAATTATAGGAAAAATTTGTAATTGTTAGTAATTAAATAAATAATTAAGTTGTATTTAAAAAATTTTCTTAAAACAATTTTAGATAGATAAAAAATAAAATTGTAGGAAAAATTTGTAATTGTTAGTAATTAAATAAATAATTAAGAGTTATTTAAAAAATTTTCTTAAAAAAATTTTAGATAGATAAAAAATAAAATTATAGGAAATATTTGTAATTGTTAGTAATTAAATAAATAATTAAGTTGTATTTAAAAAATTTTCTTAAGAAAATTTTATATAGATAAAAAATAAAATTATAGGAAATATTTGTAATTGTTAGTAATTAAATAAATAATTAAGTTGTATTTAACATTTTTTTCTAAACTTAGGTTGTTTATATATTTAGAAAATAACTTGTGTGTAACAAAAAAAAGATTTTAGATTTAGTAATAAAAGTTATTTAAGTAATTACATAAACAATTAATACAGTTACTTTATAACTATTTTGTTTAAAATGAATTTGGATCGCTCTTGGATTGACTTTAGATTAAGCTGGTGGATTATTAAATGAGCGTTTTGTAGAAGGGGTTAATGAATTTATTAACTTTGCGGTTAGTCATCCACGGTGCATGGATGGAAATAAGATACGATGTCCATGTAAACAAAAAAAATGTCAAAATCGTAGTTATGAAAACCACGATACCGTTAAGTATCATTTGCTTAGATATGGGTTTGTGTCCGGGTATTATGTGTGGAGACGTCATGGAGAGAATGATTTAACAATTAATGCCAATTCGTTTAATAATGTTGAACAAGAACAAATATGTGATGATCGTCAAGTTAATCGATACCACACGATAGTGATAGATGCGAGTTGGTCCATCTTTTAATCCGTCTAACACGGACGAAGACCCAAACCCTTATGTACAAGCATTTTATGATTTATTAGATGCATCGAATAGAGAAATATGGATTGGGTCGAGAAAACCATTCGCGAGTTATACGCGATGTCTCGTTTGTTACATCTCAAGTCCGAGCATCATTTTTCGGAGAGGTGTTACGACGATTTATGTCAACTTATGAAAGAGTTGATGCCTCTCGATAACTAAATGCCGGAAGACTTTTATAGTACAAAAAAAATGATAGAAATGATGGGTTTGCTCGTAGAAAAGATCCACTTGTTGCATTAGTGGTTTCATAATTTATTAGGGTTAGGACAACTAGAGAATCTCTTGTAAAATATGTGATCATCCTCGATATCGAAATTCTACGCGAGGTTTGATTAGACAAACATTTTTCCCCTACAAAAAAATGTATTATTTTTCGATAACCCCACGATTATAAAGG